CAGAAGTGTAATGTGATGATGAGTGCTTTAGAAGAGCATTCTGGCTGATTAGTCACTATTTAGTTACACCATTAAATTAGGCATCTAGTTAGTCTAAATTGTTGGTCTCTAGACTGCCTGGAAACATCCAGATAATTGTGAAATCTCTTGTTTTGGCTGTTCACCTCGAACATTTAAATCAGCCCACTACCAGCTGTCCCTCCACTTTATGGGGAGCTTACGTGTCTCTCTGGGTAGAAATCCTTGAGGAGTGTGTACTTAGTTTGTATATTCAGCTCTGAACTGCAGTGTGATTCCAAACTCATTCAAAAGGATTGCCAGTGTGTATTATTTCTTCATGAGCTCTAAGTGGCTCAAGATCTATGATATTTATCATTGTGTTTTATAGCTACTGGCATACACACTGAACAAAGAGCAGAATTTGGCATGTTAGCAGCTATATATAACTCTGACAATGACGTCTGCCTCACAGGGTCATGGGGAGGACCCTCATATAATAGGTGGAGGGTCAATAAATGTTTGTTCATTTGTTTATGTGGGAACTCAGGATGCTGAATGTTTATAATGCAGAGTGATTGGGCAGAGCGGGCAGGGATAGGGGCCAGGGATTTCTTTCCCCTGGCTTACATAGTTCCTGACAAGAAGTCTACAATTTTTGTCTTTGTATATAAGTAATGTGCCCTTTTCCCCCACTCTGGAGAGAGAGAGTGAGAGCGAGAAACATCAATTTGTTGTTCTACTCATTCATGGATTCTTTGGTGGATTCTTGTATGTGCCCTGACCAGGAATCAAACCCATAACCTTAGTGTATCGGGATGATGCTCTAATCAACTGAGCTACCCGGTCAAGGCTTTCTCTGGTTGCTTTTAAGATTTTCTTTTCATCCTTGATTTTTAGCAATTTGATTTCGATGTTCTTTGGTATTTTCTTTGTGATTATCCTACTGTGGAATTACTGAACTTCTTGGATCTGTGTTTATAAATTTTACCATGTTTTTTTCATATATTTTTATTGTTACACCACCATCTATTTTTGGACTTTAATTACACATGTTAGACCACCTGATATTGTCTCACAGGTAACTGATGCTCTTTGCTTTCTTTCTTTCTTTTTTTTTCTCTTTTTCAGACTTTTTTTCCCCTCACTGTGCTTTATTTTGGATAATTGTTAATGCTATGTCTTCAAATTCAGTCTTTTTTTTCTGCAGTGTCTAAGCTACAGTTAATCTTATCCAGTGACATTTTAATTTCAGATATTGTATTTTTTATCTCTACAAGTTCCACTTAGTTCTTTTTCATTTTGTTCATTTCTTTCCTCATTTTCTTTATCTTTTCCTTTATATCCTTGAGCATATTTAACATATTTGTAACCGCTGTTTAAATGTCTTTGCTGTTAATTTCCTGATCGCTAGCATTTCTGGGTCTGTTTCCATTGACCAATTTTTTTTCCTCTTGTTTGTAAATTACGTCTTCACGCTTCTTTGCTTGTTTGATAATTTATTAGAGACATTGTAAATTTTACATTGTTGGTTCTTGATTATGTTGTACTCCATTAAAAAGGGTTGGACTTTGTTCTGGCAGAAACTTAGGCTACTTATACTAGTAGATAAGTTTGACATTTTCCAGGCTTGTTTTTAAGCTTTTTATAGGCTGGTCTAATGGAGCCTTTCTCTGGAACTAATTTAGCCACACTATTCAGGCATAACCTTTCTGGGGTCTCTACTATTCAGTGTATTTAGTGAAACCTTGGCACCCTGGCAGGTTGAAACTTGGGTGGTTTCTGGATCTGTGAAAGCTCTGGGAATTGTTTGGCTTACAACTCTAGCAATTGTTCTTTCCTGGAAGTTGTTTTTTTCCTTGGTCTTGAGGAGCTTCACCCTGTACCTGCACAGACTGTTATTCAGCCAAAGATTCAAGAGAACCCCTGATGCAAATTTCAGGAGCTCTTTCTCTTGATGGTTCCTTCCTCTCTGGTTACTGCCTTTGCTATAGCTGCCTTGTCCTCCTTGAACTTAAATCTGTCTCCTCAACTCAGTGAAACTGCCCCACTCTGGGTACCCCTCCCTCGATTGCTACCTGAAAATTGCCTCTAGGCATAAAACCAGGGCAATCAAAGGTCTCACATTGTTTGTTTCCCTTCTCTCAGGTATCATAATCCTAAACTACTAGTTTTCCAGTATCTGAAAATAATTGTTTAGTAGATTTTATCCAATTTCCTAGTTGTTTATGGTAGGAGGGAAGTCTAGATCCAGCTATACCCTCATGGCCTGAAGCAAAAGTAAGTGGTTAGATTCTGGATGTTTTGAAAGTAGATTGGCAGAATTTGCTAATGGATCAGATATAGGATATGAGGGGGAAAAAGACTCTAAAAGGACTCTAAAACTTTTGACATTAGCCACTGGAAAGATGAATTTGCCATTTACTGAGATGAGGAAGACTCTAGTAGAATCAAGGAGGAGGGTGGTTGGGGGAGAGAGATGAGAATCAAGAACTTAGTTTTGAAAATATAATTTTGACATGTTATCCAACTTAGACTTCAAGTTAGATGTCTGTTGGATAGTTAGATAAGCAAGTCTAGAACTCAAGGGAGAGGATGGAGCTGAGATACATATTTGGAACTTATTAGCCTACTAGAGGCCCTGTGCATGAAATTAGTGCATGGGGTTGGGGGGGTCCCTCAACCCGGCCTGCACCCTCTCACAGTCCGGGAGCCCTCAGGGGATGTCCAACTGATGGCTTAGACCCACTCCCCATGGGGAACAGGCCGAAGCTGTCAGTCACACATCCTTAGCACTGCTGCAGAGGCGGGGCTTCGCTCACCAGCTGTGAGCCCAGCTTCTGGCTGAGTGGCACTCCCCCTGTGGGAGCGCACTGACCACCAGGAGGCAGCTCCTGCATTGAGCGCCTGCCCCCCTGGTGGTCAGTTCGTGTCATATCAACTGGTCGTTCTGCCATTCAGTTGATTTGCATATTAACATTTTATTATATAAGATAAACCACTGGTTATTAACCCTGGCTGCAGTGGTACTTCAGTCACTTAAGAAACTTAGAGAAAAAAAATCAATGTTCAGATTTGACCCTAAGCCAGTGATGGCGAACCTATGACATGTGTGTCAGAGGTGACACACGAACTCATTTTTTTGGTTGATTTTTCTTTGTTAAATGGCATTTAAATATATAAAATAAATATCAAAAATATGTCTTTGTTTTACTCTGGTTGCAAATATCAAAAATTTCTATATGTGACACGGCACCAGAGTTAAGTTAGGGTTTTTCAAAATGCTGTCATGCCGAGCTCAAAAGGTTCACCATCACTGCCCTAAGCCCATTCAATCAGAAGCTCTGGGGATCAGACCTAGGAATTGATATTTTTTAAAGTTCTTCAGATTATTCTAATGTGCAGGCAGGGGTGAGAACCACTCCTAAGTGTTATTAAAGTCCTGCCAAAGGTCAGCTAGGATGGTGGTTCTCAACCCTGGCTGCATATTAAAATTACCTGGAGAGTTTTAAAAAGTCTTAATGCCCAGGCTGTTCTCCCCTCCCCCCACCCCCCAATAATCCAATTGCATCATACTCTCTGGTGATGGGGCTTAGAAACTAGTGTTTTGTTAAACTCTTCAGATAACTCCAATGTACAGCCAGGCTGAACCCCTGGTTCCAGGGAGTGATCAGGGGACCCAGAAGAGAAGAGATCTGAAGACTGAACCTTAATGTCTGAAAGATGAAGGAGTGGCTAAGCTAGAAGGAGAACCAGGAGAGAGAGGGGTGGCAGGCTTCCCCCAGATGTCTGAACTGTGGCTCTCCATTCCCATTTAAGAATTAAAAATAGAAGATCAGTGTGCATAGGTGGGGCTGTGGACTCGTGTTTCTCTGTAGGTCAGTCGGTGTTTCCCAGGGTTCTTCATCTCCTTCCCCTCCTCAGCTGTCACCTTCCCTGAGCTGCATCCTCCCTCATCACTCACCACTCATTCCCCGGCTGTCCACCTTCCACAAATCATGTTGAAATTCCTTATCCACTGGAAACCTCCCTCCCCATTCTCAGTGTTGTTGCTGGTTTACACATTTATATCCCTTTAGCGTCATTTTCATAGGGTCTTAGAGGGAGAGCAGATAAATTCAGGTGATTAGATGATTATCTTGAACCAGAAATCTACCAACCTTTTAAAATGTGAGGATCACTTTAAATGCTAGAAATGTTTTTACAGAATCCATATGATGGAAGTCACATATACTACTTTCGGTATCCATTAATAGGAAAAATGCGTATTGATAGAAAGTCTTCTGAATTAACTCACTACCACTTTTAAATGCATTAATAGTTTTACATTTACATATATTTGGAAACTAATAGCACAAGAATGTAGGAGAAAGTTATTAGGGCTGAGAACAATGCTCAGTGAACAAATAGATTCAGACACCTTTGCAATCACTGCAGAGTTGTAGGAGTCCACATTATCACGGCCCCACAGCTCTAGGCCCTGGGAAGCCACTGGAAGTTTTAGAATGGGGGAGGGGATGTTCTGGGGGCACTTAAGTTCATATATATTATTGATTTCAGAGAGGAAGGGAGAGGGAGAGAGAGATAAAAACATCAATGATGAAAGAGAATCATTGATTGGCTGCCTCCTGCACGCCCCCTACTGGGGATCAAGCCCACAACCCAGGCATCTACCCTTGATCAGATTCGAACCTGGGACCTTTCAGTCTACAGGCCAACACTCTATCCACGGAGCCAAACCGGTCAGGATGGCACTTAAGTTCTTGCTTCTTTTACAGCTTTCCCCTGTCCCTAGTGGTCTCTTTCTCTGGGAGATGAATGTGGGGTGGGTTCCTCTTCAAGAGAGCATGTAGATAAGCCAGCTGGCCTCCTGAGCAAATTACTTACCCAAAGAAAGCAAAGGAATTTTCATGAAATTGAGGCATTTTTATTCTACCACCTTCCCTTCCTCCCATCTTCCTTATCCCCTATCTTTAGGAATTCTGTTCCTTGTTCTCTCACAGGTCAAGTGGTCAACATGTCCAAGCCCTGTGTGAAGCACTGTACACACTTTATCTCATTTACTCCTCACCATCCTATGGAAGTAGGTACAATTCATATCCATACTTTACATATGAGGTAACTGAGGCAAAGAGACGTTAAAGGACCTTCTCAGATGGACGAGCTAGTGAGCATGCCACCCCCACCCCACCCTCCACAGCATAGTTGGCGCTGTCTGAATGATGAGAAATTTAGAGACATAAAAGGTTCCAAATGACTGAGTTGGGGAAGGACACTGAGTTATATCCAGGCCTCCCACAGGGTCCCTCCTCTGGCAGCAGCCTGCCCGGTCTCCTCCAGGATTCTACAAACTGGACCCAGACCCTCCACGGCCGAGTGTGGTCAGCACTCCCCTTTGCTGCACCCTCATCTCGAGTCAAACAGAACCTGGTACCGTGCATCTCTGAGTCTTTACTACAGCAGTACCTCCCTCCGCCCAGAATGCCCTCTCCTGTCCTCTCCCCTCCCTCAACCCAAGTCCAGGTAGCAGTCAAGGGCCACTTCCTCTGCAGAGCCCACCCTGACAGGCTTCACTGACCCTCCTTCCTCGTTCGGTTCTGCCTTTGATGATCTGACCACACCTGTGTGACTTCCCTCCCCACCAGCCTGTTAGACCCGGCCCTAACAAATAATGACAAAAGGAATCGTCTTTAATTCATTAAAGTAATATCTGCTTATTATAGAACACTTGAAAAGAAAGAAGCACAAAGAAGTAAAAGAAAAAACTCCCACATATTTCCACCAGTAAAGTAGAACTACTACGGAGATTTTGCCTTTGAGTCTTTTTTTTTCTGGACAAAATTTGGGATCTTTCTTTTCCTATGTTGACATGTGATGTACACATAAGCTTTCCCAAGCACCCCTGTGTTTGGAAGCACAGTGGCCTTGGAGATGTGCTGTAGTTTGTCAGCATCCCCCTCAGCCTTAGCCCAGGGACCTCCAAGGAGAGGCCTGGTGAAGACCGTGTGAGTGAGTGAGTCACTGGGTTGTCTGGGGGGTGGAAAGACGGTGGGTTATGTTTGGTGCGTGATACGTGTTAGGTCCAGGGGGGCCATTCAGGAAGCTGGAAAATTACAGAGCGCTCATGCTGGGCCCATGTCTGCCAACAAACGGCATTTAAAATGTATCTCATGAAATTCTAACTTTTGCAATCTATGAGCTGCACAGGCAGAAAAGCACACAGGACTGATGTGCTTAGTGAGAACACTGGGACAATGGCGCTGGCCATCTCGAGGGCCTGGGAAGGTGGGGCTGGAAAGAGAAAGGAGAGCCCCTGACACTCGGAGCTGACAGGTGTAGGCCCGCACAGAGGCGCCAGGGCTCCCCCGGGTTACGAGGCTGAGGCACGGGCTGAGACTACCCTAAGAACTGGTACCGTGAGAACTCCTTTGGCCTAGCTGATCCCTGAGACATCATGTGAGTGTTAAGGGGGGATTGAGGGGGGACGGGGCAGTACAGGGAAGGGCTGGCATGTTTGTGAGCCTGTCGTCGGGGTAAAGGTCAGTCTTTGCTTTCGTCTGAAAAGGGAAAGGCAGTCCAAAAGGAGAGGTGAAATTAGTGGTGGTGTTTCTAGAATGTTGCTTGGCCTTTCACTGCCACCTAGAGCTGAGGGAAGGCAGGCCCCAGGGACCCGGCACCACATCTGGGGGTCCCCTGCTCCCAGGGCGTCTTCCTGCCTTCGTGGTGGAAAGAACCCCCGCCCCCTCCCATCATCAGCAGAAGCAGCTCTGAGAATCGAAGCTGGGTGGATGGTGCTTCACTCATTGGCAGAGAGATGGGAAATAAAGACTTTAAAGATCTTACACACCCTTCTACAGACCCCTAGAATCACAGCCGCAGGGAGGAGCAGGAGGGAGGACCCACCCCAGCCCAGCTTGCTGGCCCAGCTCCCAGGAGACCAGTCCATGGGCAGCATCCACAGCCTCATGACCACCCTGATCACCCATGTCCTTTTTTCCCAAAGAGCCAACAGAACCCACACCTGGGGGAACACACCCCATTGCCTTTTGGGGTGTCTGTCCAGCCACGGGGAAGGAGCACGTAGCAGGACAGCTGAGCTTCTGACAGACTTCTACTCTGAGAGCCCTGGACAGTGCTGTCAGAGATCAGAGACCTGCAGAGGGAGGGTCAGCCACTGTGAGGCCACCGCCCAAATTCTGACACCCCATCCCCCCCACTTTCTTGCCTTGGACCATGCCATTCAGAGGCTCAGAATGTGCATCTGAAAACTAAAGATAATAGCACCTGCCTCGTAGATAATTGGGAGGAAATAAACTGTGTGTGAAAATTGCCTTTAAAGCCTAATTCCCATAGAAGCCTAGTAAGGAAAGCAACACAGTGTAGCGATCAGAGCTAAAAGCAGTTGTCATCTGTGCTTGTTGTTGGGGTTGCTCTCTGCTGCGGTGGTGGCTGCGACAGGGTCTGCGACACAGTGCCCCAGCAGCTCCTTCCCGCAGTTACATTGACACACCTGCTCAAGGAAGCTAAAGTCCCCACCTCAAGTAATGCCTTTAATGACATCACATTCACATTTCAGGGTGCAGACTGACCCGAGCGTTCACCCACCCGGGGTATGAAGTGTTTCCAGTAGCCAGCGCTGAAAACCGGCGGGCTTCCTTCTTTTCTGCTGGTCACTGTGGCTTGCACTGCTCCCCCCACACCTGAGTGCTTTGCAGGCAGCAGGAGCCCGGGCGCCGCCCCCTGACGTTGGTGCTCTCAGCTTACACGCTGTCCCTGCTGAGGCCCTCAAGAGTCACTGTGCAGCAGTGATTTCTCTGATAAAACGAGAACGTGTGCAATGAGGCCAGGGTCCAGCTGAAACCTCCTGTAGGCTTTTGAAAGCTCTGTCCGGCTGCAAGACTCCAGAACAAGCCCAGGGTGGCTGGCCCCACCCCCAGAAGACCCTCCCCTCAGACCTCCCAGGAAGCAGAGCAAGAAGGGAGGACAGTGGCAGAGGCACCTTACAGTTATAAAGGTCGGAGTCTAGACTATAGTAGTCCCCCTTATCGCGCGGGATAAGTCCCAAGATCCAGGGGATGCCTGAAACAGTAGACAGTACCAACCATATGTACACTATGATTTTTCCCATACATACATACATACATACATACATACATACATACATACATATTTTTTCAGTTAAAGGAAGCACTTTACAGCTTCTCTTTGGCAGGTCTGAATTGCCAGCATCACTATTCTTATAGTTCCGGGCCATTAAGTAAAATAAGGGTTACTTGAACACAAGCACCTCAATACCATGACAGTCCATCTGGTAACCCAGAGAGCTATAAAGTGGGCAGGTAGCGTATACAGCCTGGATATGCTGGACAAAGGGATGATTCACATCCTGGGCCGGACAGAGTAGGATGGTATGACATTTCATCATGCTACTCAGAAGCACATGCAATTTAAAACTTATCTATTATTTCTGGAATCTTCCACTTAATATTTTCAGACTGTAGTTGACTGTGGGTAACTGAAACCACTGGAAGCAAAGCCATGAACAAGGGGAGACTACTGTGATTTTATAACAAAAAAACCCAACACCACTTATTCTGTTTATTGAGCACCTACTAAATACCCAGGATTGTGTTAGATCTGAGTGAGACTAGAATTGTGACTCGTGGACAAAGGCACTGCTCCTGGGGCCATGCACATCCTGGAGAGCTTGTGAAAAGCAGTCAGCTCTGGGCAGTCCCCTGTGCTAAGAAGACCAGACTCCACCCCTGGAGCCCAAGCCCCCAGTGGGGGTGAGGAGAGCTGGCATCAGAGACACCTGAGGGGAGGGCACCTGAGGACCAGGGGCGTGAGCAGGGCCTGAGCGTGTGCGCCTGGCTGGAGGAGCCCAGCAGGTCTGGCGGAAGCAGCTGGTTCCTTGGCTGCCCCCATCTTGCCTGGGAGGTTATTTCTCTGTATATAAATAGTCCCCTGCAGTTAGCATGATAAATATAAACACAGCCTCCTGATCATAGCTCAGAAACCAAGCTTTGCATCTGAGCTTCCTGCTGCCACCGCTGCTGTAAAACACAGGATGCGCAAGGGGCAGCATGCAGGCTTCTGCAGCCGAGCACGGGCGCATCAGTCCGCTCGGCTGCCACGAAGGAGTGCACAGCCCGGGGGCTTCTGGCTCACAATTCTGGAGGCCAGAAGTCCAAGCTCAAGGTGCGGCAGGATTGGGGTGTTTAGGCCTCTCTTCTTGACGTGTAGGTGGCTGTCTTCTCTGTGTCTTCACATGGTCTTCCCTCTGTGCGTGTCTGTGTCCTACTCTCCTCTTCTTATGAGGATACCAGGCATAGGCAGGGCCTACTTGCACGACCTCATTTTACCTCAATCACCTCTTTGCAAGCCCTATCAGCTACAGTCACATTCCAAGCTACTGCAGGGTTAGGGCTTCAACTTACACATTTGGGGAAACAAGAGGCCATGGAGGCCATCCCTCTGCCTTCAGACTGACACATGTCAGAACCTTCCTGGGCAAAGGAGGGTCAGTCTGCATTTTAAAGGCCACCCTGGAGAAAGAGATTCCATATATTTGGTGGGACTACGCTAACCTGAAGATTTCCGGAAATTGCTGTTGCTTATTACATGTGACGAAAGCCAGCGTACTTCCACAAAGGATGTGAACAGATTTAAGTGATAAAACTAGAATAAGCCGAACTGTATGCTCAAAGAGGCCAGGGTGGTGACCTAGCTCAGTGCTTGCACATAGCAGGTATTCAACAGATGTTGTGAACAGGAGAAAGAAGGGGGAGGGATGAATTACGGAAGCCAAAAAATAATCGAAAATTGATGAGAAATGTACCAGCTGCCGGGACACAGTCCGATAGCAATTGCTCACACTACCTTGGCTCGAGTGTCCACGGAGCCGGCAAACCCTGGCACTCAGTGTGTGGGAGCCAGGGCACAAGTGCGCCTAGAAAACCAACACTTCAGATCCTGAATTCAAGAAGAAACGAATCTAGTGCATCTTTAAATAAGGGACATGGGAAATGATTTTTTTCCTTTGGTTTTGCAAAAGACACAGACATCATCTTCAAATGGGTGTTTCCACCATTCCTTCCCAAAGGCAGGAGGTGAAACATTCAATCACAGTGAAAGCATTTCAGTCGCAGTGGAGAGCAAGGATAATAAGGTCCATTGTTGCTATTTCCTGATGACCTGACTTAATACAGAGATAGCATCCTTACCGCTGAGGGTCTCCGGGCTCTCGTTCATGGCCTTTAATGGGGAGAGCCAGTGCCTGGCACGTAAATATTTGTTGTGTGAAGACATCCCTGGGACACCTTATCCATATGATCCCTGACTCTACATCCCAATCCAGAACCCACAGACCCTCCCCCACCACCTCCACCTGCTTGGCTAAGGCATCTTTATTATTCGGCCAGTGGCACCTCCTCTGGGAAGCCCTCCCAGACCTTTGCTCTTGTGTCTTGGCTTCCTGTGATGTCTCCTATGCTGTCGTTTTTGTAGGGTATCATTCTCTTGAGAACAGGGGCCTTACCATATTCATTTTTATTTATAAATTTAAAAAAAATAACAATGCTTGTTGGGGGAGAAATTTTGGTTTTAAAAGTAGTAACTGCCCCGTTTGCACCACAGGAAGTGTGAAATATTTATAACAACATACAGAAGATAATTAAAATAAGAATCACCTATATTTCCACAACCTAGAGGCATGCTCCACCTATGAATTAAATACCTGTGTGTTCACACACATGCACAGTTAGAGCCAAATAAAGTAGAAGATTGGAAGGAGTTTCTTTAAAAA